TACTACACCATAAAATAATTTTAAATATTTTAAAATATGTCATATTTTAAAAATGTCCACTCGAATATATGCAAGAATACCATAGTCTGCATTGAGCTGGTTTACTAGGTTATGCATATAAAAGAAAGACGGTGTGCTCTGAAGTTTTGGAATCAAACAACCCATGGATTATGGAGGCAGATGGCCTTCAACACCTTCAGATTTCTCATCTTCCTATTTTTCCTGAATCAGTTCCACTGTGTATTCCTTTCTCATTTTTGTTCCCAAACCCAGGAGAAAGAAATGGAAAAGCAGAGAACTCTCTATCAGCAAGCTCGCTTACATGATCGTGGAGCTGCTGAGATGGTCCTACAGATGATTAGTGCAAGCAAAGGTAATGTTCTGTGAAGTATTAAAAGTATACATGATATACATATCATAGGTATAATGCCATACACAGATATAGTGTATTATGTCATTATACCTATGATATGTATATCATATACAACTTGTATATGGTAGATAATGAGGCAAAATAAATGTCAATTACAACTATACTAGGTAAAATTTCCAGACCTCTTTTCTGATTGGATGGTTCATAACTGCAAATTTTAACGACTGTACTCTTGTTTTGACAGGTCATACAGGACCCATGGTTGTTGAAACACTAAAACTTGGTATTGCTATTCTAAATGGTGGGAATACCATAGTTCAACAGGTAATGCCTTTCTAAGTACTGTGAGTCTTGCTTGTATAAAGGAGGCAAATAATTTTGAGAATTTTAGTGTTCTCTTGTGGTTTTATTTTAGTGCATTTAATTTTACGCTAAACAGTGAAGAGCTATCAGGGTATTTTTGGTACAGTAACAACGATATTATTGCATGCCAGTGATCTGTATTTCAAATGGTAATTCAGGAAGTTGTTAAATCACATAATTACTTTTTTTTTTTCCCCAAAAAAACCTATACCTTCTAGAAAATGCTAGACTACCTGAAGGAGAAAAAGGATGCTGGATTTTTTCAAAGTCTGTCTGGCTTGATGCAGTCCTGCAGGTAAAAGCATAAATCATATTATTACAGTTTCAGTTTTATTCAGGTTGGTGGCTTGTTGCTCAGTGCAGGTGGATTTGTTAGATTTAAATTACGGAAGTCACAGGTTGTAGAACTCTTGTGGGAAATTTTTGTGAATCAGAGGAATAGTATGTTAAACTTTTAGAGTATTCTTCCAAAGGAGAAATTAAAGCAAAGCCTGTGTATGTCTTTGAAGGCTTAGTTTGGAGAGGCAAAAAAGTAAAATGTAATGGCTCCTTTATTGGTCTTAGATCCCTCAAATTTTCTGTCTGGGTGGTTCTAAGGATGGAGAAAAGCCATAGAATCATGTAGGTTGGAAAAAACGTTTAAGATCATCAAGTCCAACCGTTAACCTAGCACTGCCAAGTCCAACCACTAAACCATGTCCCTAAGAGTCACATCTACATGTCTTTGAACACCTCCAGGGATGGTGACTCAACCACTTCCCTGGGCCGCCTGTTCCAGTGCTTCACAACCCTTTCAGTGAAGAAATTTTTCCTAATATCCAAGTTAAATCACTCCTGGTGTAACTTGAGCCCATTTCCTCTTGTCCTAGCACTTGTTACTCAGGAGAAGAGACCAACACCCATCTGGCTACAACCTCCTTTCAGGTAGTTGTAGAGAGCGATAAGGTCTCCTTTCAGCCTCCTTTTCTCCAGGCTGAACCCCAGTTCCCTCAGCTGCTTCTCATAAGACTTGGTCTCTAGATCCTTCACCAGATTTGTTGCTCTTCTTTGGATGCGTTCCAGCACCTCAAAGTCCTTCTTGTAGTGAGAGGCACAAAACTGAACACAGTACTTGAGATGCGGCCTCACCAGAGCCGAGTACAGGGGCACGATCACTTCCCTACTCCTGCTGGCCACACTATTCCTGATACAAGCCAGGATGCTGTTGGCTTTCTTGGCCACCTGAGCACACTGCTGGCTCATATTCAGCCAGCTATACCCTCAGGTCCTTTTCCTCCAGGCAGCTTTCCAGCCACTCTTCCCCAAGCCTGCGGCGTTGCATGGGGTTGTTGTGACCCAAGTGCAGCACCCAGCACTTGGCCTTGTTAAACCCCATACAGTTGGCCTTGGCCCATCAATCCAGCCTGTCCAGATCCCTCTGCAGAGCCTTCCTACCCTCGAGCAGATCAACACTCCCAACCAATTTGGTGTCATCTGCAAACTTACTGAAGGTGCCCATCCCTGAAGGAGAGACAAGCCAGTGAAGCTTTACTAAGCTTTCAGTTTCTGCACATCTCTGGCGAGTTACATAATCTCTCTCCCTTCATCTGAACCCTCTGCATATATATCAGGTTTGTTAGAGATGCAGCCTAATTATATAACATCTATCTTGTAATTTTTCCATTTATGTAGAATAAGTTAGCAAGGATTTGCTCAAACAGGACCTGCAGTGATGATATTACCAATTGTGTGTGTATCACTCAGGAATTCATTAAAAAAGGTTTTGATAAAATCACTTGAACACTGACAAGAGAATGAAAACAATGCTTTAAAAAATGCTTTTGGTTTTGATGATATTGCTAGATAGTAGAATATGTGACTGCATTGCTGTTTAACTGGAAAAAAAAATAGAATTAGATAACCATAGAATTATTTGGACTGTTTGAATGAACATAGTCTGACTGGGTGCTGAGAAGAATCATCATCTGCTATTCCATGTGCTGGGCTATGCCAAGTTAGTGAAAGAAAATCCAGATATCAGTGTATATCTTGACCTTGGAAGATAGGGAATCTCTGAATCCATATGTCTTCTGAATAACATAATACATAATGTATACAGTAACAATATAAAAGGAATAATAGTGATAACTTAGCAGAAAAGAGTGTGACTGAGAAATAACTGCAGTAATGTCCTTCTGGCAGGCAGGTTTAAGTCTATATAAGGAGTAATATTTCATGTTCCTTTTCCACTTTTCATTTATACATGAAACCATGAATGACATTACTGGAAGTGAAGTTAGGTAAGTGGAGAGACCTGACCTGAGACTCATTTCTTTTCAGAAATGGACACTGAACCCTTATTTTCATCCCAAACTCTTTTATTTAATATTCATGTTAAATAAAATATGAGGCAATGCATGTCACAGTGGGTCAAGACTAGCTGTTGAAGGCCTCCTGAAATTTCCTAGGAGAAAATAATTTTCCATTGTGTACTATAGTACTTTTTCCTGTTTGTGTTTTGTTTTTTTTTTTTTTTTAATATAAGTGTTCTTGACTTGAATGCGTTTGAGAGACAAAATAAAGCAGAAGGCCTGGGAATGGTTACTGAAGAAGGAACTCGTAAGTAGAATTAAATTGATTCCGCTCGCGCTTAAAACATTATTTGTACTTCCTTCTTTAACTAGAACTGTTATTTACTGTAGCTTGAGGTTTCTGTTGATAAACTTACTACAACTAATTCTAGGCTTTGAGTTCTGAATATGCTTTATATTTACAAAATCTTTAACAATAATTTTTAAGAAAAACCATTGTAACTTCCAATATTCTTATCCTGTATTCTTGTTATTTTTCTTTGATCCACAGTCATCGTTCGTGAGCGTGGTATGTTTGGGTTTACAGTTTTCGATACTATTGTTGCAAAAATGTGTTGCAAATAGAGAGTAATCTTTAATTGCATCTTCCCAGATATCTTTAGGTTTAGCTTTATGGTCTGCAGTAGGTTGTGTGTTCAGCTTGGATAAACAGTTTGATGCTTATTAAAGAAGTGTCATTCATATTTAAGGCATGATTTTAGTTATGACTAACCATTTACTTAGATATATATACTGTTGCTTTCTTTTTTTCTTTTTTCTTCCCTTTTTTTTTTTTTTAACCATGGATGCATTGGAGTGCTAAATATTTTGGCTTTGCTTTTTTCTGTCTCAGTTTTTCTTTTCATTAGAATCAGTCTGTTTCTTTTAAATTGCTTTAACGCTTTTATAATACTAGTTTTTTATTAGAATTCCAGTTTTAAAGGTTGCTGTAACATTATGTGTTCTGCATATTTAATCATAGCAGTTGTCACGTAATCATTGTATTTATATATTTTAAAGGTGAAAAAGTGTTGCAGCATGATGAATTTACTCGAGATCTATTTAGATTTTTACAACTGCTCTGTGAAGGGCATAACAATGGTAAGTGAACTGAATTAATTTTGGGGAAAATGTGTGATGAGCCTGTTCTTAAACAGAGTTGAATAGAACTGATTCTAATGGGGTTTTTTTCTTCTAATTCATTTAGTGTTCTGAGGGGAAACTGGCATGCCAACAATTTGAATTGTGGAGTTCAATTTGAACTTTTAAGTTTTAATGTAATTTCAGGTTTTATGGCAATAGTTAATAGTAAAGCCTATTGCAAGTCATATGGATAGCAATTCTTCAGTTGTATTTACATTGTGATCTACTGTAGTTCGGTTTCCACCACATAAGCATCTGTACTCAACAAGGTATTCTCCATGGCTCCAAGAACATACGAAAATAACATTGTATTTTTTATACTAACCAAACACAAATCACTTCTTATTTCAGATTTTCAAAATTACCTACGTACTCAGATGGGCAACACCACAACCGTGAATATTATCATTAGTACAGTGGACTATCTCTTGCGTCTTCAGGTGAGGAAAAACCAGAGGAAAATAGAGTATATATATTTATAAATTCACATTTTACTAGAACCAAATGTGAAAATCCTCTCTTCAGAGATATCTAAAATAAATAAATCTGATTTAATTTATTTAATCTCTTCTTTCATTTCAAAATAGATGACCTTTCAGACTTCTGTGTGAAACCAGATGTTTGTTAATGCATTTCATTTTTCACTTCTGCAGGGAGCATATTTAGATAAAAATGCAAAAAAAGTTATTGTCAGGAGAAATAGATTGTCATAGAAATACTAAATTTCATCTGATGATGATTCAACTTTTGGTGATACAAATGCAGGCAGTACATATTGCATACAGACCCAAAATTAGAAAATATAACACTGTTGGGTTTTTTCTTAGGAATCAATCAGCGACTTCTATTGGTACTATTCAGGAAAGGATGTCATTGATGAATCAGGGCAACGTAACTTCTCTAAAGCTTTGGCTGTCACCAAACAAATATTCAATTCCCTTACAGAATATATCCAGGTAAACAAAATGTTTTGCTCAAGATACTAACAGTGAAGTTCTATGATTACGTGGCCTGATCATGTCTTATCATAAATTTGTAAATACTTTATTTGGCTTTATTTTTCTTAATTTTGATTAAGTTACATGAAATCACTGGCCCAGCGTAAAGTTAATACTAAAAATACTACGTAAATAGCTGCATATTTAACATGATACAATCTAGTATCTATGCATCAAATACCAAAGAAAGCTTGGGAAGCTTGTTCATGTAGCTTTGTGGAAGCCTGAAGTTTCTTTTCTTATTTTTTCAGTGATAAATCTTAGGAAAGTAAATTTTTCTATTTGTTTCATTTTATTTTATTTCATGTAAATAAAAAATGTGTTTTTCTTAATTTTTGTAGGGCCCTTGCATAGGTAATCAACAGAGTCTGGCTCATAGTAGGCTATGGGATGCAGTTGTTGGCTTTCTTCATGTCTTTGCCAATATGCAGATGAAACTTTCACAGGTAATTTCAGCAGTCAAGTAATCCTTCTTTGCATATGTTTATAAATTACAGTCAAGTGAATGTTGAAAGCTGTAAAACAGTTAATGTGCTGATACTGACTGGTTGTGCTTTTTTTTTTTTTTTTTTTTTTTTACAGGACTCTGCTCAGATTGAATTGCTTAAAGAACTACTAGATCTGCTAAAGGATATGGTAGTGATGCTGTTGTCACTGCTTGAAGGTTGGACCTGTTTCTCTTTATGGTCAGATATGGTTATCTCTGCTTTATAATGTAAAGTATGATAATGACTTTAATCTTTCTAAATTGTTTTTTAATTGCCTTTATGTAATGCCAGGAAAAACCTATTTCATATTTATTTAACAATTATTCTGGAATACACATAGTCATGAAAAAGAGGACTTCTACAGAAGAGCATGTTGAAAGAAAAATTATGAAAATTTGAGAACATTTTTTGTTCTGTTCTCAGCATGAATATCTAATTAATTTATTTAAAATGTAGCAAAGCCAAATAACTTCCTGTTTTAACACACTACTTAGGTAACGTTGTAAATGGAACTATTGGAAAACAAATGGTAGACACGCTCGTAGAATCATCTAGCAATGTAGAAATGATTTTGAAGTTCTTTGACATGTTCCTCAAGTTAAAAGATCTGACTAACTCAGATGCGTTCAAAGAGCATGACCCAGATGGTAAAGGCATAATTTCAAAGAAGGAATTCCAGAAATCAATGGAGGCTCAAAAACAATACATACAGTTTGCTGTCCTGTGCAGAAGCTGATGAAAATGATATGTTTAACTATGTTGATTTTGTGGAAAGATTCCATGAACCAGCCAAAGACATTGGATTTAATGTAGCAGTATTGCTAACAAACCTTTCAGAGCACATGCCTAATGATTCACGCCTTCAGAGCTTACTCGAACCTGCGGAAAGTGTTCTTAATTACTTTGAACCATACCTTGGCCGTATTGAGATAATGGGTGGAGCCAAGAAAATAGAAAGAGTTTACTTTGAAATCAGTGAATCCAGTAGAATGCAGTGGGAGAAGCCACAGGTGAAAGAATCCAAAAGGCAGTTCATATTTGATGTTGTAAATGAAGGAGGAGAACAAGAAAAAATGGAACTCTTTGTGAATTTCTGTGAAGACACGATCTTTGAAATGCAATTAGCATCCCAGATCTCTGAAACGGATTCATCTGAGAGGCCTGAGGAAGAGGAAGAAGCAGAGACTTGTTATGTAGTAGATATTGGAGATGATGAGGAAGAAGAAAAGTCCCTGGAATCTGCATCAGCTTTTGCAATGGCCTGTGTTGCAGTAAAGAAGAATGTTGCCAACTTTTTTAAAATGGTCACTCTGAAGAACCTAAGGAAACAATACAGGAAAGTTAGAAAGATGACAGTAAAAGAGATGGTGAAAGTGTTTTTCTCCTTTTTCTGGATCTTATTTGTAGGGATGTTTCAACTGTTCTTTACTATAGTGTGGGGAATTTTCCAGATACTTTGGAGCACTGTATTTGGGGGTGGCCTGGTTGAAGGAGCCAAAAACATTAAAGTTACTAAAATATTGGGAGACATGCCTGACCCAACACAGTTTGGAATCCATGATGATGTTATGGAAGCAGAAAAAGCTGAAGGCGCTGAGCATGGCATCAGAGCTGAACTTGTGCAGTTTGTGAAGGGTGAGAAGGGAGAAAGTGACATAATCTCAGACATTTTTGGCATTCATACAAAGAAAGAAGGTGGCTCAAAACATGGACATGATGCTGGACTTGGAGATATTGCAGAAATCCTGGGTACTGATTTCCAGTCATCTTTGGAAAACACAGTTCGTAAGAAAAAAGGATTACAGGTATGTTAAAGAGATTTTGTATTTCTTTGCAGAAAATAATAATAATAAAAATATATGACTGAATTTTCTGTTAGTAACTGAATTATTTGCAGTTAACTGATTAATAAATGTTCTCAATGAGAACATGCTTTATAATCTGTACTCTTAAAAACAAATAGGAGAGTTTACGTGGCAGAAAAATTCAGCTCAATGTGTTTAAATTTCACTGCAGTAGATTTCTGTTGTTATTCATTTGCACTTTATTCAAAACATAAATTTGCTAGCAACTTTCTAGGCACAGTTTTTGCTTTAAATGGTTTACAGTCTTCTTCGTTCTGCATGGCCCATTTTTTCACAGTATATTTCTGTTACTTATACTTTCTTTTCTTTTACTTATACTTTCTATTACAATCTACTTTCTCCATAATAATGCCTTATCATTATCATCATTCTTCTACATGCTTTACTGATCACATACAATAAAATATCCTTTTTTCCTATTATTTGAAATAATTTTGCCTGAATTTATTGTTACCTTAATGTTTATCATGTAATCATTCTTACTTTTATTCTGTTATGAACATTATATTTTGTTCCACTCAACTGAGCTAAATATAATTTATCATTCTGTTTAGAAATGAATTGAACTAAATGTTAAAACCCAAATGCATTTATCATATTTGGAAGGCATTATGTTTCACTCTACACTTTAGATCTGTTTCTAATTATTATTTGTATTGGGTCTGGCTGAGATGGAGTT